GCTGCATTGTAGAAGAAAGATGGGCAGCCTATTCATATAAAGATTTACATTTTGGAAAACACAATGGAAACTGACTCAATAGCAATGAGTATCCTTTACTACTTCATTCCTAAAAAGTTATTTATACAGGCTCACAAACTCTTAACTACCACAATAATAAGACACTAGACAACCTGATCACATCAGTAGCAATGAATGCAATACAAAGAGTCCATAGCATGCAAACAAAACTACTTGACTCTACATGCTTCTGTAGGGAGCTCTAGTGGTGGTGGTCGTGATTGTTGCTAGGTGCTGTAGACCTGAGTATGACCCATAGCGACCCTATAAACAAAAGATCTGAATCCTATCCTATCCTATCCTATCCTATCCTATCCTATCCTATCCTATCCTATCCTATCCTATCCTATCCTGTGCCATCCTCACTCTTTCTGACACATTAGAGCCCATTATGGAAGTCACCATGTCAATCCACCTGGTCGAGGGTCTTCTGCTCCTTGGCCGACCTTTCCAAGCATCAAGTCCTTCTTCAAGAAATAGCCCCTCCGAACAACATGTCTGAAATATGTGAGGCGAAGCCTCGTCATTCTTGTCTCCAAAGAGCCCTCTGGTTGCACTCTCTCCAAGACATTAGTTTAGGTTTTTTCTGCAGTCCATGGGATGTTCAGCGCTCTTCTTCAACACCACAGCTCAAAGACATCAATTCTTCTTCTATCATCCTTATTCATTGTCCAGCTCTCAGATGTGTAGCAAGAGATTAGAAAGACCATGTCAGTGATGGGGTGGTTGTTGTGTACCATCGAGTTGGAACCCACCCATAGCTGACCCTACAGTGGATTTTCAGAGGTGGTAGGCAGTTGAAACTCACCAGCTGCTCCATGGAAGAAGAGCAGACAATTTAAAGCCTTCGAAAATCTCCTGGAGGTTTTCATAGGTAGTAATGGGAAGGTGGAGGGCACAGAGTTGTAATCTTTTAGGTATATTAAAGCAACAGTAAGCAAGAGAAAACGAACTTTTCTTCAGTAATATTTTAAAAGATGAAAACAGTCCTCTTAAAATAGAGGACCAGTGGATTCCTTATCAAGCTGGAGTCCTCATTCTCTTAGCCAAAAGGGTAATTGTGAGCACACCTTCCTTATCAAGTCTGGTGCCTTTGTTTTGGTTTGTTTGTTCACCCTGCCATCTGGGTTAAGCATTACTCTCTTCATTAACCTAATAATAGGCCTTCTGAGCTTGTATCAAAGATGACCTTTTAAACGAATTATTGTTGTATGCCATTCAGTCAAACCAACCTATAGCTGACTCTTCAGAGGGTTTACAGAAGCTGTAAATCACATGGGAGCAGACTGTCCGTTTATCTCTCACAAAGCAACTGGTGGATTTGAACCAGAACCGTGTGCCCTTAGGATTGCAAGGCAGCAGCCTCTTGCCACTGGATTAACCAGAGCTCTTTTTTTCTTTTTTTTAATTTTATACTGGATTATTCATTTATTTATTTTCCACAACAGATCTTTCCCATTTCCTTCACAACCCCCACCCATCAAATTGTGCAACCCTATGATTAACCTGTACCTACCCTACCCCCACCCCATCCCTTTTTAATGACTTGGAGGAAAACCTTTTAACCATTTTAAACTTTAACTGAATTACTGCTAGGCTAGGTTTGCTCTGAATCACAGACTTTCTTATTATCCTACTTCCTTTCCCTCTTTACATGAGGTACTAACTCAAAGTCTTTTCCCTTGAAAGAAGGTTCAGATCAGAAAGGCCAGTATTGAGCAAATGCAGGCATCACAAGGCCCAGGAACACACTCTAAAGGAGTAGCTGGGGCACCTCCAGGGCATCTCCAGGTTTTCCCTCTTAACAACCTTTACTCTGCTAAGAACTTTCAGGAGCCATGTGAGTTAAATGTCCTTCTATAGGGTAGCTGTCTTGAAAGGGCATGTTTCGTGATGACCAAGTACCCAAGAAGATCGATGTCATTTTGTTCCCTGTGATGACTCAACAACTAACTGGAATAAGGCCATCTGGAAGCCTTAACGCCAGCTTGCTACTTGTTAAGGTTAGAACGAGTAAAATAAGACAGAAGTTCATGCCTGGGAAAAAGTGAGCCAGAACCAGGAAGCAGATACATTATAATATTATTAGTTTCAAGCATGGAATTAACGTTTTAGGCACATGAGTAACATCAGTGGACTGTAACAAGAGCCACTCACTAAACTTTGACATCTCATCGGCCCAGACCCAAGGCACACCCAGGAGGAAACTAGAAATACCATCTCATAACAGCGACACACTGCCTTCTTCATTTCTTCCTTTCTGGGGAGGATGGTCTGCCACTTAGGGATTTCTAAGAAATTAATCTTTACTTTTCTTCTTCACTTCTGCCTCCTTTCTTCTTAGCCTCTAAGCAAGGACTTAGCCTACCCTCTAAGTTTAGCACTCCAACAAGGCCTTGGCCTACACCAGGATCAATCTGTGCAAGACCAGCACCAGTCCTTCTAAGGGCCTTCTATACTGTTCACTAAAATCAGCCCTCTATATTGTACATTAAAGTCAGCTCTCCCAAGAGTCACTGAAATTCCTGTACACTGTGCTACCTTGGGTGCTTGGGTACCATTTCCTCCTCTGGTCTCTTTTGCCTGGCTAAATTCTTTAACTGGGTGAGGAGAAGGGAGCAACCAGGGCATTGACCCCACAGAAACATACTGATTTATATAACCTTTTTCTGAAGATAACACCGTCTTTCCTTCTCAAAAGTAAACACAAACTTCCCCTCATACACTTAACCTGGCTTAGAAATACCTCCTCATAAACTTTTCTGCAAGTATATATGATATACTTCTCCTTTTCCCATTCCAACCTGTCTTCAAGATTGGTTTTTCTGTTGGCAGAACTACATTTCTATGGTAACAATATCAGTAAGTTAGGATTGAAAAAATTGTTCAAATGTTCTTGTCGCTGTAACTACAGGGATATTTTTATAATAAAGAATACATTTCGGCTGAAACAATGTACTCAAACTTTATAGACAAGTCATTTTAGTGTTGCCCCTCCAACAGCATCATCTAGTGCAGTGTGTACCCCTGTACCCTTTCTTGGTGTCATTGCTTAGATTCAGACAATATTTGAGTAAATAGACTTACAAGTATGATAATAACACTTGAATGAATTAAAACAACAACAACAAAAAAAAACACAAAACTGGCAGAAAGGTACTGCCATGTCAGGGAACACTGGCTTGAAGAATAGTATTTTAGGTTCAAGAATAGTTTTCCTATTCAGTAAATCCTTTTGTTCTGGGTAGTTATCAAGCCCACTGCTTGTCTAAATAACAACATAGCCACTTTCTTAAGGACTCCCTAACCGTCAGAGGCAAAGAGCACTGCTTGGATGCTGTAGCACTGGGTTTCTGCTGGCTTATCAATTTTCTGTTTGTGAGGACCGTTTTGACCAAGCACTTGTCCAGGTCCTTGCAGCCCAGCTAGTGATCTGTGTGGGATTCTAGAAAAGTAATGCCTCCTTACAACAATGGGGAGCCCGATGCCAGCAAGGTGGGGCCGGGAGAGTGTATCCGTAGCTGTACCAGCAGAAGTGGGTTGGATTCCCCAGGCAGAGCACACCCACTCTCTGCCAGCACAGGAACAATAGTATGCTGTTGTCAAACACCTGGGCTACTCCCTCAGCCAGGACAGAGCACTGACTACACCCATCTCTCAAGCACTGCTTGTCTCCTTGCCTCTTTAGTTCCTCATGTGTAAAAGAGAGACTAAGTGAAGTGTTTTTCTTTTGTTTGAAAAAAAATGCATTTTACAGCGTGGTAAGGAGTTGTGCTGCCAACCCCAAAGCAGCAGGTTCAAATCCACCTGCTGTTCTGTGGGAGAAAGATGGACAGTCTCCTACCATGTGATTTACAGCCTCTGAAAAACCTGCTGTAGGCTCAGCTGTGAGTCAGTCCTGACTCAACAGCAATGAGTTTTGTGTTTATGATTTCCTCAGTCTCTGGAAGGTTGCTTTACAGATGGGATGTTCAAAAGACAGGTAAAACCATTTCAAAAAGGTCCTATTATTATCACAGTATGTATTTTATGAGATAACTATTGCATTTAATATTTCTTTTTGGAATGACATCCTCAAGTATTCTACTAGGTTGAGTTTTGTCATCATAGCTGAGGCAGGTCACAATAAAACTACACCAAGGTAGAATTGTTTAAAATTTAAGAAAGGTGGATGCTATGGCAACCATCCATAGGTCAGTTCTTAATAGGAGAATTCCAAAGTTAGAAATTTACCCATTTATTTAATATTTACTAAGTACCTACTTTGTTATAATCTATTAAAAAGAAACCCCAAAACAAAACCAACTGAACAAAAAAAAAATCATCCCCATCTTTGGAGTTCATGATTAGTTAAAAATAAAATAGTATCATTAACACAAATGTTATTATATTATAATATAACAATTTGTAATTGGTGTTATAATAGAACTATGCCCGGCATAGACTGGAGATACCAAAGAAGGAATACAAACTTCAGTGCTAGTCAAGGAGTTTCACTGCCAACTCAAAAGCGGTGCCTTTCTGGTGGTTCAAATCCAAGATGGGTAATACGCTCCCTTATGGCTTAGGTGTGGGTACACATGGTGGACACAGTGTATGCAAGCAGGCCTGCCAGAAGGTGATCTGATAGATCACAGGGGACCTGGGAGCAGTAGACCTTCTTGACGAGATTGTTACCACAGCGAGAGTCTGGTTCTGAAGTTAACTATTTCCTTGCACACGTGTTAATCTTGTTTCCCATTATAGAGCAATGGTTTTTGTGGTGAGAATAATATCCCAGGTCAAGTCTGTGTTCTGGTTTGGGAAATGCTTGCTGACGGGACTAGTGGGCTAAATAGGGGAGCTCTGGCGGCCAACATCGGGCCTTCAATGCCAACTTCAGAGCACCCCTGAAGTGGCAGGAGCTGGCACATGACAGCAAGGAGGGGGAGGCTGCTTACCACTTCAGTGGGTCTGTAGTACTTGAGGTCTACAGTCACGTGGATCTTGCCGGTCTCTTTACATCTGCCCACTTCATTTTCATCCTTTCCTTCCCACCTGTAAAGAAGATAAACAATCAGCTCCTAATTGCTAAGGGCATTTGGCTTCTCTTTCACCTCTTGGAAGGCCCAGCATTCTCTCACTACGGTGGGGCTGCTGGAGCCACTGAAGGCAGCCACTCCCTAAGTCTTCCTAGATCTGACTTCAGAGTGGACAAGGTTTAGTTCTTGTTTCTCTTTTAAAGAAAACGGTGTTTAGTTTAAAGGTGAAACTTTAAGATTAGACCCTCTAGATGGAAGGGAGTGGATAACTTTCAGAGATTTAAGAAAATTTGTACCTCTTTAAACCATTTGTGATTAAAGCATTTACTATTTTTGATAAATGCCAATAATTGAAGAGGGGATTCAGGCCTTTCACTCATAGGACCGTTATGACTCATGCTCGACTCGAAGGTAATCATCAACAACAACAACAACAACAACAACAACAACATTAATTAATTAATACAATTTGTTCCCTCCTTGCCATTTTATTTACCTTTTATAGTTCCAGGGATATTTAATGTCAATTCAATGTATTTCATTTTGGAGTAAATTTAACATTCTCCTTAGGTAGAGAGTTCTGATGGCCTAGTGGGTAAGGACTTGTGCTGTCAACCCAAAGGCAGACAGTTTGAATCCACCAGCTGTTTTGAGGTAGAAAGGCAGACAGTCTCTTCCTGTGTGATCTACAGTTTCTGAAAACCCACTGGAGAGTCAGCTATGGGTTGGCTCTGACTACACAGTTCCTAAAAATATAAAATTTCTCTTTCCCTCCAGGACAGCTGGAAAACTGGCTCCACTAGAGCCATCTTAACTTGGTCCATGGGGCAGAGGTTGCCCGCTCTAGTTTCAGCTGATGAGGTTGATGATAATAAGCCATCTTAACACAAGGAAGCATTTAATTCCTGTTTGTGTGACAGATCACAAAGCTGGACTTGCATGTGTAAGGAGCATGATCATACATAACTTTTCTCCACTGTGCAGTTGACTTTAGAGACTTATAACACTAGCTGAAACAGGGTAAGGCATAAGGAAGGACACTCTTACTTAAGGGGTTTACTAGGAACCGTCTGGAAGTCAAATGTGAGTTCAACACAACATCTGTTCCTCTGGGGAGGGGTCTCCAGCATACAAGCCCTTCTTGCCCTCCCTAATACTATATCTGCAGGACCTCCATCTACATTCAGAACAGTGGGAGGGAAGAGATAGCACTGCTCTTCACAATCAATACAGCTGCACTGAAATCCACTTTATCTGGGAAACGGCTCAACACAAAACATTTTTACTTTGCACAAGGTCTGCATGAGGGAGTAAGGCATTGGCTAATGGCCAAAAACACATCCAATTTACGTGTTCATACAAATGCATGGAACATTTGTATTAACATGTGAAAAGCAACAGCTAACTTGTCTTAACAAGTAATGACTCTAAGCAAGGATGCTGTATAAATGCAGTGAAGGTGACTGGACAGGGAGTACAGGACTCACCAATTAACAGAAATTACTACCTACTAATTTAGATCAATAAGAACTTATTGAGCAAGGATTTTGTACAATTCCATTTAAAAACAAATTATTGGCTCCTAACAAGCATTAAATAATTCAAGAGATCACAGAATTCAGAACAATTAAGTGGAATGAGGTGCCATTAAATCCCCTTAGGGAACACTAAAAGCATAGTCAACTGTATTGGCCAATTGTAGGAGCCATTAGATCTAAAGTATGGTGGGGGATGCAGAACTTGTAGCAACTTAAGTTTCACAAAAGCTCTCAAACTGGGGAGCACTATGCTGAGTGAACTAACTCAGTCTCATAAGGACAAATACTGTGTACAACCATTATTGTAAAAATAGAACTGGCAACAACAACAAAGCAAGTCTTTCCAACTTCTCTGGGAAATCAATGAACAAGGGGGAAGAAAAAAAAGGAGATAAATACGCCTAATTAGCAATTGTTCCCATTGTTTGGACTTATCAAAGAAATAACCCTTGAATAGTTTTATTAGGTGTCTATGTTTACATTTAATGGTATCTACACACTGGCCGAGTAACTAAAAGTCTACTAAAAGAAGCTAGTATATGGTGAAAACTGTGAAAGATGGAACCCAATAGGACAGCCTTGTGTTCCCTAGCCTCAAAAGCTTTCTGCTTTTGACAAGGTGTAGTCTTACTACTTTCATATTATTTGTTTTCTTTTGTAATTTTTTAAAATTGTGATTTAAAGAAAGGATTGTGGTGGTGGTGTTATGTGCTGTAGAGTCGCTTGTGACTCATAGCGACCCTATGTACAACATCCCTAATCTATGCTCTGTCTTGTGCCAATCTCACTGTCTCCAATACACCCATCTCGATTATCCCAGTCACTGAATCAATCCAGCACTGTCCCTCCACCCTCCCAAGCATTATGTCCCTCTCCAAGGACCAGTCACATGTCCAAAGTATGTCAGATGAACACTCAAAATCCTTGCCTCCAAGGAGCAGCCTGGTTTAACCCTCTCCAGGATGAACCTGTTTATTTTCTTAGCAGTCAATGGTACACTCAATACTCTTCTCCAGCACCACAGCTCAAAGGCATCAATTCTCCTTCTATCCTCCTTAGACATTGTCCAACTCTCAGATGCATAACAAGTGATAGCAAAGACCACGGCCTATATCAGACGCACCTTAGTCTCTAGAGAGATACTGTTGCTCTTGAGTACTTTAGAGAGGTCCCTAACAGCAGACTTTCCCATCGCAATATGTTTTTTTATTTCCTGGCTGCTGGTGCCAAGAGTGTTGACTGTGGAGCCAAGGAAACTAAATCTGTGAACAATCTCAATCTCTTCCCATCCATTCTGATGCTGCCAATTGGTCCATTGGTGAGAATCTTTGTCGTCTTAACATTGAGCCTCAATCCATATTGAAGGCTGCAGTCCTTGACGCTCTGCAGCAGGCACTTCAGGTCCTCTTCAGTTTCAGCAAGCAGAGTTGTGTCATCTGCACAACGCAGATTGTTGATAGATCTTCTGCCAATCTTGACCCCACATTTCTCCTCATAGAGCCCAGCCTCCTGGATAATCTGCTCTGCATACAGGTTCAAAAGGCATGGAGAAAGGACACATCCCTGGAGTATGCCCTTCCCAATTTTGAACCATGCAGTGTTTCCTCACTCTGTTGTGACGACTGCCTCTTGGTCCAAGTATAGGTCTCACATTAGCACGATCAAGTGTTCTGGGATTCCCACTTTTCTCAGAGTCAGCCACAGTTTGTTAAGATCCACACAGTCAAACACCTTTGCATAGTCAATGAAACACAGATAGATATACATTCCTCTGGTATTCCCTGCTTTCAGCCAAGATCCACCTAACATTAGCTACAATGTCCGATTACAAAGCTAAAAAAAAACCCCAAACCAAAAAAAACAGTAATTAGTAAAACATGTATGGGGGCCCAAAGGGAGAAGGAGTGGGAACAGAGGGGTGAAGATGGGTGGGGGGAGGGGGAGAAATCACAGGATCTCACAATTTGGTGGATGATGGAGGGAGGGGGTAAAGGAAATGGGAATAAAAACAGATGGGGAAATGGTGGGCATAGTTCAAATGGTGATTAATGTTAGAAAACACAATGTATGAAAATGATTATATGAAACACAATGTAAATGAAAGAAAGTGTGAAACACAGTGTATACAAAATTTGTATGCAAACCAATATAAAATAACATTTTTTAAAAATATCAGAAATAATTTATGAAGTCAAATATATATGCTAGAATGCGGTTTGAACATAAGGAGTGATAATGAAAGTAAACAAGCCTGTGCCAACCCTCCATGATGGGATGCACACCTCCTCTATTGTGTCATGGGGTTTTTGTTCAAAATGCCTTTCTTAGCTATTGTCTTCGAATTTCACCACATGACTGAGAGGGAACTTGAAACAGGGTGTGTATAAAGTAATCATTATGAGATGCGTCCACTTTTGCCATCCTACCAATTCAAAGCAGATTTAGCAGCAAAGGCAGGAATCTTAGTTTTGAGGAGGATCAAGCAGAGAGTGCAGTGTCAGTCCTTTGGGGCCAGAGATTCCTACCTCAGCAAGACTAGGATTTATATAAAAGCAGTGGTACCCTCTACAGAGACCTAGAGACAGACATGGGACAGAGCTGACTTAGGACTGCTGTCCCATGGAGCCAGAGCCAGTGGCTTCAAGCAAACTTGCTGGAGGAAGGACCAAGGGAAGACATAAAAATTGGCATAACTAAGAGAACTTTGTGTCATTGACCTAAGCCATAAAGCTAAGGGTTCAAGGCCCCAAAGACACCATGAGCACACTTGAGAACCTATCTGGACTAAGGAAATGTATCCTGTTGTGAAACTGAATTGTTAGGAAGTTTCCTTAATAAACCCCATAATCGTGTGTGTGTGTGTGTGTGTGTGTGTGTGTGTGTGTGTGTTGTGTGTGTGAAGCTCTTGGGAATTATTTTTAAGAAAAGCTGTTTTATGGGGATCTGAGTATGGAAGTAGAAGGCTTCCAGTGTCTAGAATGCAGTGATGACATGATGCTAGAATGCAGTAATGATGTCGTACTAGAATGTAGTGATGACATCATTCTAGGATACAGTAATGACATTATGCTGTCTTGGAACAATTCCAGCTTCTGGAGCATGGGAGTGGTCTGTGTGCACACATACTACTTTTGTTCCCTTCCTAGACCTCACTGATAATAAGTAGAGTTTCGAAAAAATAAGCAGAATGAACAGGAAGGAGGTAAGAGCAATCAAATGCTGGAAGCAGTAAAGTAAAACTGTAAGTGTTAAAGGAGTCAGCAGGGGCACAAGAAAGTATATTTCTAAGTCACCAGTGGAGAGGGCTAGAAAGAACCCCAGTCTACACTTGGAGAAGCCCCCAGTGCCCAGAACACAGAGGCACAAGCTCTTCAGGACTGCCTGAAGAGAAAGCCTGTTCACAGGTCCCATCAGAAGCAGCGTGATGCATCATCCCTGCCAGATTTTGCATCCTTTGGGAATTGCTTCATCTTAAACT